ATGCACGTGGGCGCGCGCAATTTCGTGCCTGATTGAGTGTTGTTGCGCGTGTGTGCGCGTGCGATCGTGCATGCACGTGCCGAAAGACAAGTGTAAGTGTGTCTTTCCTCGTGCGTGTAAGTGTCAATGCGTGCGAATGGCGGTGAGCGAGTGGGCGGCATGACTTCTTCAAGATTTAATGGTCGAGGGATGGGTGATGACGATCAGTGGGTAGAACTTCTTCATGCACGGTTCCTTAACTTTTGAAAGCACAATTGTGCCATCTTTCTGCTTCACGCTTCATATGAGTGATGTCGCAGGCGAGCATATCGTATGAAGGGGAGTTCTGCTTTAATCGAGCATTGCTTCAGGGGTAATCACTTCTGCATTTCATCTCGCAAATTTTGTGGTGGAGGAGGCCGGCTCGTTCCGAGAAGGAGAAGAGTAAAGTGTGTCCCGGGGGGTGGGAGGAGGATTGTCGGGGGATAGTGAGTGGGAGGCTATGTGGCACCCAAGACCGCGGATCCTACGGCCTAGGCCGCGGGCATTGGGAGGTACTCGAGAATGGAGTCCACGAAATATCAACCTGCATCATGAGAGGCTTCAACTCGAGCCTTAATCGCCAGCTGTTTGTTGCCCTGTCTACTCCATCCAAGGTGCATCTACAGTGGAGTACCATCAATATTCCCGTCAACAAGCTACATCATTATTTTCATTATCAGCAACCACCATCATTATCATATTCATCGCCGTTCATCATCTGCATTGTCTTCTTTGTAAGGGTGAGCGGGTAAAAAAGGGAGTGGGTCGTTTCTGTTTTCCTGCCGAATATTTCTTCTCCATCTCCACATCCTTCACTTCATACTCGGCACCCTTCTTTCTACCCTGTCTCTATTTCATTCTAACATCCTTTTCCTCTTCCCCCTACCTTATCATCTCTTGTATACGCTCCTTACCGTTGCGCAAATCGGTAGTTGTTGTAATTCATTGGATGAAGTGGCGAGGGTGAGTGCGTGGGACAGGGTGGTGTATTGCGGGAGAGAAAGGTGGGGGAGGAGACGTGTGATTGTCAAGATGAAAGAGACGGAGAGACAGGAAGGGAATAAAGAGTGAGAAGAGAACGAGGTGGAGGGAGGTCTGGAACAGGACAAGGGGAAAGGAGATGAGGGGGAGGAGGGGGAAATTTTATTTTTCGTAGTATTTATAGTTTTAAGTTTATCATATTCTTCATCTTTTTTAAACTAATTAATCAACATCCAATCATCATCCTTTTAACCAATCTACTATTTCAACTAAAATAATATCCTAATTAAATATCCAACTTAAATCTCTAGATTTCCAAATTTCTAAATAATATTCCCGAATAATCCAGAATCATCGTAACTCTCAACTCCTAGAACTAAGCTGATTGGTATTTTTTAATACCTAAATTCCTATATTTCAAATTTTTGAATCTCCAATCTGCATTTTCACTCTCCGTGTTTATTTTCGCTGCATTTGCTTCCATAAGCCGATTCTTATCCAATTCTTTTTGTAGGAACCTTGTATTCAAATTTTTTCCAGCATAAATTTCGTTGGTTCGAATGTCAGTTCCTGATATTCTCCTCTCTGAGCATCGACGTTTTTTTTTTCCTGATGGATGGAAGGTGGAGTGAATAGGGGAGATTTTCACTCTGCAGGGGCGACGCAAGGTGGGAGGTGAAGCCTTGGAGGGGGAGCGAGCAGATTTAGTGGGTTGATCTATTCTGGGGCTGGGGTGGAGGTACATATCCCAGCGGGGACAGATTAGGGTTAAAGGTGGGCAAAGGCATACTTTGGGAGGGAACTGTATGCTTTTGTGAGATAAGGGGGGGGGATGTGGGACTGTCCCAAGTTGAGGCTGAGATGGGATGCCTGCAATCTGGGTAATCTGTTTCGGTGGAGGCAGCGTTGAGATAGGGTGGGAAGGAGGGGAGGGGGAGATTAATCTTCACAGAACAGGTGCTTTAAAATTCCATAGTCTTTAATCATGTTATATCAAGCTTTCTGGTGTTCTGTAATGCTTGGCAGCATCTGGTCTTCTTCCTCGTTCGGAATATAGGACGTCATAGATGGTCGAATCTGGACTGATATCTGCAGAGTTGCTTTGTTCTGTGCCCCTGGTTTGCGGATGCCAGAACGACGCTGGCCAGAGCTGGGGCGTTGCCCTGTAACCTGCAAATGGCAGGAGTGTGAGGCCTTGTAGAGAGATCTGGGGATTTGCTGAGGGAGGAAGGCAATCCAGTGGTGAATCGGGGGGGGCTGCCTAAATAACCTATGGGTCCAAGGATGACATTGTCCTTAAGATGTAATGTCCTGGTTCAGGGAGGGTTCTTGGATTAGGAGGCCAAAACTGCTGATATAGCATAGTCTTCTATATTTTTTACATACTAATCATCATCATCATCATCATCATCATCATCATCGTCATCATCATTGTCATTAGTATCATTATCTCACAGTTTATATAGACTCAGCAGAAGTTCACCATCATCATCATAATCATCATAATCAATATTAATCATCATAATCATCTTAATATGAGGGACTTGAGCCTAGTTCTCAGCATGTTTGGTTCGGTCACTCTGGGTAGACTGTGAGAACCCCGACCTCAATCCCCTTATTGGTAATATCAGCCTTGGGCACTGGGCCCGTTTAAAAAAAAAAAAAAAAAGGGGTAGGTTGTATCGTATCCGGGCCCTTAACGAGGGGGATATGTGGCGAGCCTTCCAGCCGAAGACCACGGGTCAGGATCTACCCGTCAACCCAGGGGAGTGGAGGTGGTTGCTCCCGGGAAGGGGGACCGGGCCACAAATATCGCACCTTTCCTACACTGTCAGTAAAGGCCACCTATGGCATGCTAAGGGTACGAGTAAACATGCCGGAGACTATGCGAGACTGTTGGCACAGACACTAATGTGGGAAGGGAAGCTCTCAGACCGATCTGATGGCTCCAATACGCAAAGGCCAGGCTGACAAAGTTCACGCAATGGCAGATTGCGCACCTCTGCCTTCCTACTAATGCCTGGCTGAGTGACCACTTCGGTCTGGAACAAAGGGGATTGCCTTGCTGTGGTGCAAGTCATGTGTTGAGGCCTTCCCGTCACAGAAAATAAAGGAAACCATTGAACACGTCTTCCTGCAGTGCCCAGGGGCCATTCTCAGGTGGAGGTGGTGGGAACTAATCGTGCGCCAGGTGGGCACTGCCAGAGATGGCCATGGGATTGGAAGGCCTTGCTGTGTGTCCACCGGCCTGCTAAAAAATGCTCTTTTATTAGTAACCTGCTTGAACTAGGTCGTAAAGCGGTCATGTGGGCTCTGTGGTGGAAGCGATGTGCACGGACCATAGAGGGGCACCGGTGAGGAACGGGGAAACGAGGGAAATGATCTGTGACCTGATAGAAGTAGAAATCAGAGCGCGTTGGGAAAGGGTTAGAACGAGCCTTAAACGTTTGACACAGTGGGAGGACCTTACCAAAATAATTACCGAGTTTTGCAATGATTGGCTGGGGGGGTAAAGGGAAGGATGGGTAGCTACAGTGGAGTGGGCGGATTGGTCAGACCAGGGGATGGAGCCATGTTCAAAGGACTTTCGGGATACTGATGAAGTTGCATGAGGAGTTCCCCGACCTCTTCCCCATACAAGATCAGGCCTTAGGCTCGGACCCCACTGGCCGGCGACTGGAAGAGTTTTGGCATGGAAGAGCAATTGCGGACCCCATTGGGCCACCAGATCCACCGCCGGCGGTATGCCAATGTCGTTACAGACCCCACTGCCATTCTGGAAACACTGCTGGCCGTGTTTCTACACAACTGGCGGCTGGAAAATATCCGTCAGAAACCGGCGGTCCTTTTCCAAAACGTCCTCCAGACGGGTAGGGGCTCGAAAGTGCCGAAAAGTTTCCATCACTGCCGGACGCGTCTGGTTCAGAAAACGGGCGTCGCGGACGTCGGGGCGGACCAGGCCGAAACGCAGCGGTCGAACGGCGTGTCGCACTTTTCGTCGAAACGGGCCGTACACGGTCCCTTGAGATGGTCCCCCGCCGTGGTCCCGCTGCATTTCGAAATGCGGGAGCGGCAAATTTGAATTCAAACGGTGTTTGAACGGAATTTTCCACTGTGCCAACAAGTACTTGGGGCGGAGAGAAGGAATACAGGCCATTGCGCTCTCTGTCGATCACGTGGCCACAATTTTTGTCACGACCTTGCTAGTCTGCAGTTGTCTTCTTCGTTCGAGCACCGGGTGGAAGCTCAATCTGCCATGCAAGTACTCAGAGGACTTGCGCGTTTTGGACGTGTGGCTTCCGTCCAAGGCGCTTCCATGTCCCATGGTCGTCCTTTGTGGAGTCGTCGTTGGACGCATTCGGATGCCTCCACTGCGGTTCGGACGCTACTGCAGTTTCCTGTGTTCAGCTCGGGACGTGCAGCTGCGCGAGCCTCTTTCTGTGGCAGTGGTTGTGGTGACGTGGTTGTTCCAACATCGTTGTCGTCGTTCACTCCGACGGCTGCCCCACAGAGAACCCCGTCCGCATCTTTCGTCGTCCATTCCCCGCGATCTCCAGTCTGCAGCGCAGGTCCTCCGTTGTGTAATCGACAAGCGGATGTTGGCAGAAGTGCAAGAGAGCGTGTGCACGTCAACAGTGGACACGTGGCAATCAGAGACAGCATGGCGCCAGCTGCACATGGGCCTGGTGGGGCGTGTCGCTGCAGTTGTGTGAGGGAATGTCATGTGGTTGTCGTCGTGGCGAATGGGCGTTGTGGCGGCCGCGTGGATGGTGTGTCGCTGCTCGTTGTGGGTGTAACAGCCATTGTTGTCCTCGTTTTCGTGGTAGGGGCCTTGCTTTTGTCGTTAGTTGTCACGTTCGTTGCCATTGGCCTTCTCTCCAGGCATCTGTAGTCATCCTCCGTACGGGTGGGGCCAAAGGTGCCACCTTTCATTGTTGATTAGACGGTGTGCTCCGGTGGCAGTTCGGTTATGGAGTCCACACGTTGGACGGGTGACGTCGAAGTTGGTTCCGATGGCAGTACTGACATGCACGATGGCCGTGTGCATGCACGGCCCCATTCTCGTGGGCAGGGGGTCCCGAGCATGCATTCCTTCGCCGCCGTGCGTCAATCAACGCCGGCCGTGCAACGTCCGTACTTCCCCTCACGTGCGCCTTCCCCGCCGTTGCCCTTCGATAGAGGGTGTGGTAGACAATCTCCCGAGAGGTTGCATGTAGGCCTTCTGTGTAGTTGTCCACCGGCAGTGGACATGCCGGGGCAACGACGGTTTCGTCGTTGATGATCACTCTTTCTCCGTCCAACAGCAGTGCGATTTGTATGTAGCGAGGGCATGCACAGAAGGGACAAGCATGGGTGCAGGTTTTGGCATGCCGGCGTCGGGTGCACAGAACATGGACATGGGTGGCACACCTTGGTCTCCCCAATGCACCCAGAGCACGGTACGGTCGTTCGGCATGCGGTGTTCTCCATCTCCTCAGCTGGGCATTCACACGGACGGCCCGTGGAATTGGACGAACACGCGGCCGGTGTCTCCCGAGACTCGCATGGATTCACCTTACGACGAAGGCGCCGTCGTTTCCGGAGGAGCCGACGAAGACGGTAATGTAGAGCACGGAAGTGCTGTTCCAGTGATGGCAAGGTCGATGGCCGAGCAGGGTGATGCGCAGGGCCAGGGTGCGGCAGGCGGGAAAGGGAGCAGGCGGTCGGCGCCTGCTCAAAAGAAGCAAAGCGTGCCATGGACGTTGGACGAGCGAGTGAAGCTTGCACTCCTTATGGGCGAGGACGATGGCCTTATGCCGGCTCAAAAGAAGCAAAGCGTGCCATGGACGTTGGACGAGCAAGTGAAGCTTGCACTCCTTATGGGCGAGGACGATGGCCTTATGGCGGATGCTAACGGCCAACACCGATTCAAGTAGAGGAAAGAGCGGTATGCATGGGTGAACGATAGGATGAAGGACGCTAGCTTCAAATACAGGACCGCCGAAGACTGCCGCAAGAAGTGGTCCAACATGCTGCAGACGACGAAGCTCATCGTCAAAAAGTGTCACGCGTCTGGACAGTCGTCGTATTGGGATCTATCTGTGGAGGAACGAAAGGAGAATAATCTCCCGCTTTCTTTTGAAAAACTGTTGTGGGACGCTATGTAGTGGCAACTAAACCGGCCGTCGATGAGGTGTGATAACACGCTGGCTTCGAAGAACCTATCGGGGGATGGAACAGATCCACCACCGGCGGGAGGATCGGATGAAAGATGCGCGGAGGAGTCGGACAATTCTGCGAAAGTGAGGCGGACGGCCGCCAGGAAGGCGAGAGGAGAAGATGGCAGTAGCGATGGCACGAGTATGGGGAGGGCCATGGAAGATTCTACACGCTCGTACTGTGATGGCCTGGACAAAGCGGCCACCTCCCTTGCCAAAGCCACTGCGGCATGGGCACCGCAATCGCTTCTCGGATAGGGGATGTGGCCGATGCAATGCGGGGTGGGAATGATGTTCTCGAGTTGCTAGTGGGGGTTCTAGCCCGCAGGGGAGCGAATGGAGGTCACTCCACCGAAGGGGGTTCTACACGGTCGGTGAGATACATATATATAAAAATATGTATATATGTACATATATACATGCATGGGGCTCTCGACGGTCGACTGCCATCGCCGGGGACATGTGCACGACCGTTCGATTTCTGTCGGAGGACAGAATCGTCAATCAGGATATGAATTAATGGAAAAAAAAACAAAAACGGCAAGAGAAAAGGTGGGGGTTGGGATTGTTCTTTGTGAGCACGGCCGCAAACGCCGATTGTGATAGCGCACCACCCCGGCGGGCCATCCCGAGGCACGTGTATAAAGAACAGGTTCGCGTCGGCGGTGATCGCACTTTCCAGAGGCGAGGGAGTACCATGCCGACACGGACTGTCTTCGCTGGTGATGTTGGTTGTATAGCGGCGTGTGGAGGGTGTGGGGTGCGTGGTCCACCTCATAGTGACCGTAGAATCGGTCGGCTCCATTTCGCATTAGCGAGAAGGGGAGGGATCTGGCGAGAGGCAAAGAGAGAGCGGTGGGAGGGACACGCAGAGGGATGGATATGCATGTCTTCTGTCGTGGTCTCATCGACGGCAGGGGGGGTATGGTCTACGAGATGATCCACCACCGGGACGGGTACCACACGAGGGACTTCGAGCTCGCGATTGGCATGACACGTTGCTCCGTCCGTTTCTATGAAGTCGATGTCAATGGGGTCCCCGCTATGAAGATGGAGGTGGGGTTGGGATTCTTCGGAAACAACCTGGGACATGTGCTCATCTTCGTCACGAAGGTCAGGGATGTGATCCCCAACGAGTGGGGCGGCCATCCCGTTGATCTGGCGGGGGAGATCGTGCTTCTTTACATCTCCACGCTTGCCGACCTGTACGCAGACCGCCTGGATCCGCTACCGTTTTGGAGGTGCACTCTTGATCCGCCGTTGGTGGGCAGGCCGTATTTGCACGGGGAAGTGAGGCCTTGAATCGGCGGCGCTTGTCACACCGACCGAAGACAGAGGACGTGTACAGCGGAAGCGCCATGAATGTCCGTCTTCTGTGTGTTCCGGGTTCGCTGGAGTCCGTTCGTTCGCCTGTGGTTGATGAGTGAGTGAGTGAGTGTGTGAGAGAGAGAGAGAGAGAGAGAGAGAGAGAGAGAGAGAGAGAGAGAGAGAGAGAGAGAGAGAGAGAGAGAGTCTTCTGGTCGTAGATGCACCGTCGGCGGTTATGATGATGATGATGATGACGGTCATGATGACGGCGTCGGGGGTGCTGAATACTGTCAGTCCCGCGGACTGCCACGCTGGCGGGGGAGATGATGATGATGTTGATGATGATGATGACGATGATGCTGTTGATGACGATGGGGGCGCTGGTGACGTCGTGATGCCGATGATGGTGATGCTGATGATGGTGATGATGGAGATGATGATGATGATGATGATGATGATGATGGTGATGTTGGTGATGGCGATGATGATGGTGGTGATGATGACGTTGATTGTGATGATGATGATGATGGTGATGATGATGATGGTGATGGTGATGATGATGATGATGATGATGATGATGATGATGATGATGATGATGATGATGATGATGATGATGATGATGACGATGATGGCGATGATGTCCTCGGCGATGATGATGACAATGATGATGGTGATGATGTCGTCCGCTCGGGTGAATCGTCCCAATGGCACAAGTATCGACGGATTTTAAAGTCATTCCATTACATATATAAACGAACTCGTAAAGGAGTCGGTGGTTTTTGTAGCCCGTTTCGGATTCTGGCTATCGGCTGTTGTTGTTATTTTTTTGTAATGCTTTTTTGGGTTACGTGCATGTTTGTGTTTGTAGTCGTCCTTGCTATTTTGTGTGTGTCGCCCTGAAACCAATTGTTGGGCGACTTCTTTACCCGGACAGCGTGCTGCTATTGTGCTCCGATTTCATGTTCGCATTGGGTGTGCTGAAGGCTTTTGTCGCAAATTTTACGTTCGTTTTTTTATGGTCGTCCAAGAAATGATCGTCGTGTGTGTTCGTCTAATATGTCCGGATGTTATTAGTGGAAACTTTTCTCCCGCTTTCTGTAAAGATATGTGTTCATATCTTTACATGCATGGGTGAATTTATATGTTCATATGTTCATATGCATGGGTGGTATATCATTTCCTTTTATACATTTCGCAACATTAATTGCTTGAATTCATATGTTTTGTGTGCATGGGTGAACAAAGATTACATTGCGAAATCAAAGGAATGCTCTACCCTTTCTGTGTTCGCCGACATCAATGCTTTGATTTATGTGTTCATATGCATGGGTGAACAAATATTACATGACGAAACGGACAAAAATCATGACCGACTGCGAATGAAGACAACCAACAAAAGTCATTACCAATTACAATTACGAAGCATAACGACCATGGAATTCGCACCAACGGGTTTTCCAAAACCCCCGTCGCGGACACAATCTTCCAGTACGTCTAACGAAGACTACGCTCCTGTGAACCCGACAGGATCTACGAATGACGTAAATGACACACACACGACTTCTCTACGAAAACACCGCTGTAGATGATCGACCATCAGCTACAGCAACCTCTTCTTCAACCCTTTCGCCATCTCCCCGAATGCGAGGGGAGACACACGCGACTTTTGCGTCGACAGAACACCACTGCTGCCACGGGCATGGCGCCGAAGCTCCGTGGACTGCAGAGTGGTGTCGCACATGCTCAACCAGGCTTGCCCTGACGTGTTTGGCGAGATCCCCCCCATAAGTAGGGTCATCCTCCAGCACAACCTCGATGTTCAAGTTCGACATATGGCGGTTGAACCTGCGCCGGCGCCTGCGTCGCCTACGGTCCCCGCGATGGTGATCGTCTCCATCGCTGTCACTGATGTCTTTCATCAACGCAAGGTCGATCTCCATGTCGTGGTCGATCATGAGGTTGTGAAGAATGCACACGGCCATGAACTCTTTGCAGACGGTCTTCAAGTTGCAAATGTGTCTGCGAATGAAGTTCCTCCACACCGCCTTCAAACGGCCGAATGTCCGCTCGATGCACGACCTCACTGCACTGTGACTCACGTCGAAGGCACGATCCGCCGACGTCACAGCAAACCGGCCGAAAGGAGTCATGAGCCACGGGAGAAGGGGGTACCCTTGATCACCAAGCATATACCGCCCAATATGTCTACCGCCGTGTAGCATGGCACCCCCCTCAGCCAGCACTCCTCTACCCGACGTAGCCTGTACGTAGAGTGGCGAGATTCGCACAGCTCTGGAATCATGCACAAACCCGGGCATCCCACAAAAACGCTGCAAATCTGACACTCGTGGTCGCACACGACTTGTGCAACAACCGAAAACCCGCCGGTGTGGTGATAATAGCACTCTGATCGCTCTCCCGTCGGCTTCTCTATATATAGATGGGTGCAATCTATTGCGCCCACACACCCGGGGAACCCTTTCCGCTCGAAGTCGTTCTGCACGTCCTCCAGCCGTTGTCCTGTAGGGAAGCGTAGGAGGTGGCCGTACTCCCGGATTAGGGTGTCCGCCACGTCCTCGTTGCTGCACAAAGCACTCGCGAGACCCATGCCCAAACTGTGGGAGGACTGCCTGTAATATCCGCCAGTTGCCCATCTCATCAGAGCACATGCGAACTTCTGTCCGGCGGATATTGGCAGTCTGAAGTTCGTGGGTGAGCACTGGATGTGCGGGCTGATGCGAGCGAGAACTTCGAAGAACAACGGCCGTGGGAGTCTGCAAAACCGCACGAATACCTTGTCGTGCTCACCCCCCACTCGCTGGAGATCCTTCCACACACCGCCGCTGTGCTCCAACACCCACTGACGACGTCTGCGGTCCATTGTCCTCCCCATCTCCTCCACAGCCAACGAACCCAACACAAAATCGTGCAAGATCCCCCCCGCCAGGAGTGTTACCGCAGTGGAGACATTTTGGTGGAGGAAAGGCATCACCGATACTGCCTCCATGACCGCCAACGCTGCCGCGTTCCGTCTGTTCACCCACTGGAAGAGGAAGAGAACCAGCATGACCAGTGCATCCTCACTGTGAGGATGCGGCACACCTCCTCGTGACGCATCCATGGCTTCCATCCGGGCACAACGTGTGACGCGTCCGGTGAGCCGGTGACACGGCAACCGTCTCCGTCAGCTATGGAACCCCAATGTCCGCCGGGGAATGGTGAGTGCCATGGACAGGTGCGCTGCAATCTCCCCCGGGTGCGAACGCCTGCAGAGAGAACAGGACCGACAACATACCCACAGACCCAACGTCCGTTTTCAATCTCACCTGGGCAGGTGACCGGCAACGGCACGGAAAAAAATGGTCGTTGCTGCATCCGGAGCCTCCTTGTGTTTGGGACGTCGCACTGGGACTCCGCACTCCGTCTCTCGCTGGCGTGTACGGCATGCGCCGCACCCCCCCCCACGAACAATCCATACGCGAGGCCATGTCCGCTGGTCCATGCAGGCCGTCCGGACTTTCCTTTTCGGGACGGGCCCCTACCGGGTTTCCTATGGCGGCAAGCCAGCCCGCTTCCAAAACACCGCCAGCACTTGGCGGTGTGGTGGCTTCCAAAACTGCCAAAAACTTTCCACGGACGGTAGCCAGCTTTTCGCGGCCACTTTCCTTTTCCAGCCGCCGGCCAGTGGGGTCCGAGCCTTAGTGGAACTGAGTTGGTTTGGGAGGGATGTCTGAGCCCCGGTTGCCATCTGGAGGTGTCATACTAGCCCTCCCTCACAACTGCCTGTGCAGTTAATCCCCTGGGTGTCCAGGGCAATCAATGCTGGCAGGCCGTCATATCGCTCGTATAGTTTTGATTGACAATTGATAAAGATCATACACTTCACATCACATCACATCACGGTTAGGGTTTCGTGCTTAGATTTTGATACTTACAAGAACAAGAATATAAACGTCACATACATCAGACACATAGTACACATACAACTTAGGGGTTCGTGGATTTGTATAGGTGTGCTGGACTCGGTTTCCAGCTAATACATTCTGATACAGTTACATCAATGTATAGGGACGCTGGACCCGGTTTCCAGCAGACACATGCTCATAATTGTACAGGGACGCTGGACCCGATTTCCAGCAGGTGCAGCTCCCCACCAATAGATGGAGCCTTCGACGCCGGGTCCTACTTACCGGGGATGCTCTTATCACCTCGTTAAGTAGGTCTCCCGTATAACGAAGTTTAAAAAAAAAAATAAAAAATAAAAAAAAATGCTGGCAGGCGGTAGTCCTACACATTCCAACATAATGGCCATGATTTTCTTGCACATGGGACGCCTGGCCCATTTCCAGCAGGTGATGCTTCCCACCAGTAGATGGACCCCCCCCCGAGGATACTAGGGCCGCCTGCTCTTATCAGAACTCCTAGCGCCCAAGTGGACAGGTTTTTAGAAACAAAAGGGGGAAAAAGAAAGCATTTATCAACTTAGGCCCGCCCCCCGAAAGTCATGGTGCGTTAATGTGAGGGGCCCGCGGCCAATGTATGGGCCAAGTACTGGTGGTTTAAAGGTGCGCTCAGTTGGCATTAGGTATGCAGAATTTCAAAATAGATCACGGATGGGTGGGGTTCATGATGGGAACATCTGATCTGAAGATTGGTCTTTGATATGTTTCCCTCTCAACTTGATCTCTTGAATGCAAAACAGGTGTGCTTACTGGAATGAACCTTTCTGCCTTTTTTGAGGGGAAGGGGCCCTGAGGGTAGAGACAGGGCGGGGGGATCAAGCGGGTCTCACCTTAGGGCGTACTCGCACACACTAAGCAAAATTGCAAAATCCGCAATTTTGCTCCCTCAATTTTGAGAAATAGGTGGGTGGTTTCACTGTTAGGGCATACTCTAACACAGTAAGCAAAATTGCAGAATCTGCAATTTTTCTTCCGCGATTTTGAGAAATAGGTGGGCCTCAGACTCACATACGGTGGCCCTTTTGAATGAGACCTGGCTCAGACCTTATGAAAATTGCTCCATCTGCTATCTGAGTGGTCACGCAGCTGATAGCAGATGGCTTTTTTTCTTCTGGACTTCACTACGCAAGCAATTGCGTTTTCTCTCCCGCTGAGGTTTTTGCGAGGCTCAAGGCCTTGGTAAGCCCTACTGGGCCCTATTTCAGCAAGAACGGCCGCCCTAAGGCGGGCCTGATAAGTGACAAGAGGCCTATTTTGTGTTTTGACGCAGCTGGAGAATTTCAGGCAGTTACGCCGCGTCAGTTGGTTGAATGCGGTCACGCCCTGCCTGCCGACCTCTCGGTCCTCCATGCCCTTTATCAGATGAATTGGAGGCAGGCCCTGGACCAGACACAGGGCATGAACTGAACACAGGCCGACTGGGTAGTTCGACACGAGTAACCTCCCCAGGCCCTGTGGAAGATTCCCTGGGACAGGGGCTCAGCCACTGGGGGCCTATCGGAAGCTTCTGGGCAGAGGCCCAGTGCAGCCAGGCAGCACGCTGCAGGCAGGCCACTTCCGTAAAGGAAAGTGCCTGCCTCCGCATTTGGCATTCGGCCACTCGCTGCTTATGCGCAAGCTCTGCTGCGCTAGCTGCTGGAGTGAGTGCCTACGCGTTCACGGGCCAGCAGGGAAGAAGAAGGCAGCCATAGCCGAGCTGGCCTGTGCATTGCTGGATGGGGTGCATGGTGGTCCTTGGGTGCACGTGGCATCTGTGTGGGGGATCGAGGTTGTGAGTGAAGCGTGAGACATACCCGGTGCTTGAGGCGAACGGCATTGGCCGAGATCTGCTCGTACTTTGGGAAGCTGTTGACGTCACCAGCGGCATTGTAGATAGGCTAGATAGGATCTGCCATTCGTAGTCTGGGCGGTGAGCGCCAGATAGGGATTCGACATTGGTTCATCGTTGATGATAATGAGACTATTCCAACATTGTCACTTGTGAGTTTCTGTTGTGCTCTTATTTGGTGGAACTCAAGTTGCGATTCTGCGATTCTGCTTTTGGTTCAAAGTTAAGACTATCTGGTTTCATGTGTATGATGCTGCCTGGTTTTTGGAATTCGCTATCACTCAGTTTCCTTGCATTTTAGTATCGGAGCTGTGGTACATTGCACTAATCTGGCGCTTGTCTTCTGCTTATACGGTGCATGCACGCGGGTAGCTGGGTGAGCGACCGTGGGTAGTGTGCAGTGTGGAGGGCGAAGGCAAGCAGGCGACCAAGGTGGAGAGGGGTATCGCCAGGAAGGCTGAGTGGTGGTATTGGGTGTTTCGCAGTGTGATGAGAACTATCTGATGTGCGATTGATGCTGAGGTCGAACAGCGGTATAATGCTGGTTGTGCCAAGGCAATGATTGGTCATCACAATCGATGCCAGGTCATCTGGTGAGAATATATGTGGTTGGGGGAAGCTATTTTGAGGTATGTTGCTCTTAACCTTATCTACCCTCATCGACACTTCTTACCCATGAGAATGTGTGTTCTGTCTTGAGAGTCCTCTCATGTGAGGAGTCGAGTGCGCTCAACCTTGAGAGTCGGCATTGTTCACGTGGGCATCTGGAAGGAGAGGGCGTTGCCATCTGAAGGGCCTTAGATGAAGCACTGGGTCAAGGACACCATTTAGAGCACGCATGGTTCGCTTCTTTGTCCTTTGTCTGCCAGCTACGCTATAGATAGGTCATGGGGGGCAGGCCAGTCCTAAAGGGGAGACAAGAACCGGACGTCTATAAATAAATACCGGCGGGTTACCTTCCATTGGTTGTGATTGTCGTCCTATTAGCGACGTTAAATAATTCATGAGGACCTGCGGGGTCGTCCTTAAACTGCCTCTTGATCAGCCGATCGGTCGGTGTAAGGCTCGGTGCACGCGAGGGTAAACATGGTGCAGGACTGGCCATCTCAGCATTGACTTGGGGCAAAGGGGCAGGCTGTGTGCACACCTTTAGACACACACACTGTCTGGATTGCTCAAGAACGCTGATGTCAAGAGACGCCAAGAAAAATTGAGGGAGGGGTAGATTTCGGGTGATAAGTTCGAGAATAATTCCACTCTGCAAACAGCCATGCAAATGATTGAATTTTTAATTTTTAATTTTGATTACTTTAATTTACTTAGATGTTACAGACTTATAGTCATTAACACATCTGACAGGCAATATAGGTAGAACTTTATGTTTCTCCTTATCTGCTTCTTGTTTACGAACTAGTCAAATAAAATGGTTTCGTTTGTAGGAATTGGGACTTACCTGTTGGACCCAAATGTGCGAACTAGTCAAATAAAATAGTTTCATTTGTAGGAATTTTGACTTACCTGTTGGACCCAAATATGTATCTTCGAATAAGGTCACCGATTAATTATTTTTATTTATTTTAAATCGGTTTGAGCACTATGTTGCGGTAGGCAACCGAGTGTACCCAAGTGTCGACAATCCACAATGATGTAGCACATGAGCGACAAACAAGACCCTGAGCCGGACGATCGGATCCTGTGTTCGTCAAGTCGTAGACGCCCGTTGGTCCATGTAAAGTTAGGACCTGAGGGTGACCGTCGTCTGTTCCTTCAGGCTAGGGATAGGAGGCAGCAGCAGAGCAGGGCGAGGGATGCAGATGCAAGAAGAGCTTTCTCAAGCGAGACAGCTACCTCAGCAGCCAACACAGCCACCTCTGCGCAACAGAGTTTCCTGGCCAGTTCAGGGACTGTCGGGGCGACGGTCGCACAGACCCAGAGTCAGTCCGCGTTATGGCAAGCCAGCAAACAGTGTTAACTCCCGAGGAGGTCGCCATCCAGCGAGCAAGCGCTCGTGAGACACAGCTACAACAAGCATTAGATGAGATACAGGCAGAGAAAGAGAAAATGATCAAACGTAGATCTAGGATGCAGCGGAGACAAGCGGACATCGGGGAGTAAGAGGAGACGAACCAGACAAACATGGATGACGATGTAAGGACCGTTAGGACAGTCCTGCTAGATGTAGCTGAGATGCAAGACTACCATTTGTCACTCTTGCAAGACATTCCGAGGAGCCTGGCAGTGCTGGTCGAACGAGTTCAGGTCACACCATCACCATCTGGACCAGGTGTCTGGCCCGTGATACAACCTCCTCCTTTTGTCCCACCGATAACCGGGATAGTCTCATCTACACTTCCTTCGGTGTTGGTACAAGG